CTGGCAATAGCTGAACAGCATCCTGTTCAACAGCTTGATTAAAGAGCCTGAAAGACAAAATAAGCAATAATTGCCTCAATCATAATTCAGACTTTGAGTTGCTTTCTTAGGAGGAAACTCCTTATATAATAGGCTGTATTTTGTTTTAATCAAGCATTTTACATAAGTTCCACATCAATTTGCTCTGCAACGTTGCATTACTGCAATGCACATTTATGGGCAAGCAACACCAAAATCAGAGCGGTGACTTTCAGTACGTTGCTGCAGTTGGTGCCGCAAGAGTGGGTACAGCGCATTTCATTTTTTGCAGAAACAAATGTTTACTAACTGTACGTTTTCATATGAATGCTTGAAAACTGGTGGCAGCAATTTGCAACTAAATAAATAAATTACATGAAAGTATTTTTCTTTTACTAGAGAGCCAGCAGCTCACATTTAAAGGGACGTAGAATGTAAATCTACAGTTATCTCGTTGTTGAATGTAGGCAGCTTGGGGCGTCTAATGTAGCATACCAAAAAGTCAGAGCCACGCCTGAGCTGCTTTCTATGCTAATTAGTAGGGATGAGCCGGGTACTTGTTTCAGACGAGTATCCGGTACGGATAAAGCATTTTTGACGAATACGAGCATGAAACGAGTAAAACTCGTAAATATCTGTAATCGTGCTGAAGGAAAATCCTCATTGGGTAACTGACTGTCTTCACGCTCTGTGATTGGCCAGTCACAGAGCGCCCGCCCCTCCCTACACACAAAACTCTCTAGCCGGTCGGGAGCGCAGTCCGTCCGGCTCATCCACGCACACACACAGACATTAACAGATCTCGCTGTGATTGCTTCACTGTTGCTCTTGTTTCTTCAGTTTTCCCTAGGTTTTCTTCAGCTCGCCTCTTTTTCGGTTGAATATTTAAAGTTACTTTTTACGTAACTTACATGGTGCATTTGACAAGACAGAGCTGACGTGCTGCATCAGTCACTCACTACCTCCGCTCCGGTCGGGGTTTTTATTTATTTTTTACTCCCTCTCTCTCCCTCTCACCCTCTCTATCTCTCTCAGACACACACACACCTTAATCAACATTGTTTTGTTTAACTTTGTGTGGGGCAAAATGCCAGGAACGTTAAGAAAAAAATCAGTTTAATCAAATTATTATTAAAAAATATAAATAAAGTTGTGTCTGGTTCTAGCATTTCATATTTCCTAGTTCCTACTGCATGACTTCAGATGTATTAATCCATGCACTTAAATATTAATCCTCTCATTTTATTGAAAAACTTGTTCTGTAATAGTTTCTTTACTATTGTGGTCAAAAATATTTAATCTTAATTCTGAGGCTGCTCTGTAAATAGTTTTCAAATAAACAATACACATATCAACTTCTGATCATTCCATATTTATTTCAGACTTAAAATAATATGTTGATGTAAACCACACCCACTTCCGGGTTATGCCACGCCCATTCCGAGTACAGATACAGATACAAATAACTTAGTTGGTTGAACAGTGGTGTACTCGCTCAGTATGTCGAATAGGTGAGAGAAACGGTTCCATCTGATCAAACCTGTTTCATTATGTAAAAGCAAGCCACTCCTCCATACGTCTGCATGTCCAACCCACTTCAGTATCTAATTATATAAACGCCGATCCCGTTGATGCTAACCGCAGAACCACCAGGCCGGACTATTGCTAATGCTAGCCTGAGCTGCTAATGCTAGGCCAAGCTACTGTTGACACGAACACTGGGCCTGGAAAACCAGTGTTGTCATTGTAGGACTAGTTCATGTGTTTGAGTTTGGCCATATATCAGGGCTTCTGGGTCATTGTGAGCCCCAACAATGTTTCATAAGCTAAGTAGAGACTCAATGTGCTTTTAACAATGATTAATAGTCTTCTTCTGCTACTTTACATTTTGCTGTGTAGAGCTAATAATCTCAGTTCAGTCAGAAATGCTAACAGCATTTGAGGTTTTTTTCAGCAAAACAAGACTAACACCTGTTTTTTCTTTGAGCTGACTCTATATTATCCCATTCATTTCAGTGCTTCCATATATATTCTCCCAGCCACTCCACCCTTTATTTCCTGATCATATTTCCCCCATCACTCCCCTCATTATGTCATCTGGGTCCATCTCTCCAAAGATGCACCGTGCATGCTGCAGCCCTCGTACGGTGATCCTGTTAACAGGCTAATGCTGTGAAAAATGACTGTAAACTGGCACTTTTACTGCCATCACCACCGCTTTGGGGCCGCCTGCCGCCTACAGACCTGTTGCCTGGCAACTCCCCAGACATTGAGCGCTCCCGTTTGCTCTGCTGCAATAGAGACCCACGCCTAATAAGCATTATATCTCATGTTGTCTTATCATTTTGTTGTTAGTGACACAGGGGTGCTCGCAGCTATGGCAGTGCAGCGAGCACCAATACAGAATGTGTTTCTCATTCTGAATAAATGTAATGACTTGCAAGTTGGAGGATTGTTTGTTGGTGTAAGTGGTTGTTCAACCATTAGTTAAATAACAAAGTGGAATGTTTACTGGGAGAGAACCTTGATCCCACTGCTTAAACACATGATGAACTTACACTCACTGGCCACTTTATTAGGTACTTCTGGTCAAATACTGGTTAAAAGTACCTAATCAATCAATAATATGGGAGTAACTCTGGGCCTATAGAAGGGATGATGACAGCTTGCCAGAGATCAAACTGAGCATCAAGATGAAGAAGAAAGGGGATTTTAGTGACTTTAAAATTGTCGCGGTTGTTGGTGCCAGATGCCTTTTATTACTATTGCGATGCAATTTCCAAAGAAAGCGTGCTTGCTGTGTCAGGACACTTTAACATAGAACAATGGTATGTCTCAGTACCCGAGTGCACAAGTATGTTCTTTGCAAGTACAGCAGAAGTCCGTTTTACCGGGTACGGGAGGACAAAGATGCCAATTCAAACAGAACTGTACTCCATTACCTCATAAGTGCTGTTTATGGTTAAAAAATGACCTGAAATAAGAATAAAGTCTAGTTTGTTTCTAAAATAGCAAAACAACAACAAATGCATTTCTTTTATAAAAATTGGCCCACTTTGTAATGTTAGAGCTGTTGGGACAGCAGTAGCTTAGGAGGTAGAGCGGGTTGTCCGGTAATTGGAAGATTGCAAGTTCGATCCCGGCTCCGACAGCAGAGACAGCAGAGAATTCTGCTGTTGTGTCCTTGGGCAAGACACTTAACCTGCCTTGCCTGCTGGTGGTGGTCGGAGGGACCGGTGGCGCCAGGGTTTGGCAGGCAGCTGTGGCTACATCGTAGCTCATCCCCCTCAGTGTGTGAATGTGTGTGTGAGTGGGTGAATGACTGATTGTGTTGTAAAGCGCCTTGGGGGGTTTGTAGAACCCTAAGAAGGCACTACACAAGTACAGGTCATTTACCGTTCTTCTATCAATGTTTCTTTGAAATTGATAAAATGCAACTTTGTCTGCTGTAAATTAAAGAAAAATAATTTTCTAGAGAGCTATGTGAGGCAACTCTGCTTTTATTTTGATAGCGGATTAGCTAATTAGCAGTCTGTGGTATCGTGTAGAACTCAAAATGCTAACTAAACTAAACTAACTCCCTGAGTTAATCTTTAATTAGAAATGATGTCCAGATCAAACACAATCAGTTAGTACTCGGTAGAGGAGAAACTACCATGCATGTTTATAACACCGTTGACTGTGCTGTGCGTCATCATCTAACCCACTTTTACTCGTCTCCTCCTTTGTTACGGCTTTTAAATCAGCAACCCGTGTTTTATCAAAGCCTCACCTGAAGCTAACAAGAATCCCAGACGGTTCCAGCATATTCCCAGACTTGAGTGACACCAACCACGCTGTTCCTGGGGATCTCTCAGAGGGGGTCACGAGAGAGCAGCAACAAAACGTGTGAACCTGCTGCCACCGATGCATCCCTCCGCCTTTAATCTGCTCCTCCTTTGAGTTTCTGGAGAGAGTGAAGGAGCTGACTTCACATTTTGAGTTGTTTGCAGATTGGGACCATCACTCGCCGTGTTTTTATTTATACTTATTCTAATGTGAAGCACCGTGTGATCTATACATGCAGATGGAGATTATGCAGGCCAGACTCACAACTAAAGGATGTGTTTTGCAGCACCTAGAGGGATGTTTAGGTGTCAATGAAGGACAGCGGACTGATAATGTTGTTTGTTTTAGGACCGAATCTACCTTAATGTACTGTCTTGGGTTATTATTATTAAGTGAATTTTGTATCACATAAACACAAACACACAGATTTTTGTCTTGCATTCATTGTGAGGACTGTCATTGATTTCCATTCATTTTAGTGAGTGGATTGTGCCTTACCCTAACCCTAACTAACACTCCACTCACACCATCCCTCTAAAACTAACGACTAGAGCGCCGTAACACTGCTACAGGCTAAATGTCCTCACTTTATAAGTGAAAAATCTGTCATTGGTCCTCAGTTTGATGCATAGACAAGTACACACACACACACACACACACACACACACACACACACACACACACACACACACACACACACACACACACACACACACTTCAACTCGAGCACCCTTTGCCGAGATGCAGAATACTGTACATCTGTCTGTTAATGAGCTTCAACAGGCAGTAAGGCATTATGCTGAAAAGAAGAAGAAGCAGGTTTTATGTTTTTTCCAGAATAAGTTGCTTTTCACAAGCTCTGGTGAAAGACAAGCAGCATAAATCAGTGTTGAAATACAAAAGAAATGAACAAATGGATCAAAATCCCAATTTTTTATTGGCCTTGAGCTGATTTGTGATAAGACAGTGTGGTTCCCACCTGCACGCCTGGTCTTTAATTGTCATTCCACACAGCTGCTGAATAAAAATCTTCTGCAAGTCTCAAACTTGCACCTTTTTATCTGTTAAACTTGTTTTTAAGACTCCAGACTTGTTTTTTTCATAACATGCACATTTGTGTGCTCACTCTCCCTTTCTTGTTGCGTTGCCAACAGCCAGACCCACAAGGCCGGGACATCGCCATCCGTCCCTTCTTGGAGCACTGTGAGAACACCCACATGACCATTTGGCTTGGCATCGTCTATGCCTACAAGGGACTGCTAATGGTGAGAGAACACACAGTCTGACAGCACACAATCACAGTCTGGACACGTTAATACCCACTTACACTCTGTGCCACGTTAGAGGAATACTTCACATCTTCTGAAGTGAGTTTCTGCAGCAGGGTCAGGGTCAGTTATTATTTTATTTGTTGCAGAAAGCGCTTAGGCGGATCTCAGGTTGGAATACCTTGACCAGAGTGATGACAGAGAGCCAACACTAAAACTTCTGTTACATGATTATTCCAACAAAACGTAAAGTGATGCAGAAAGTGATTAAACAGACGGTTTACTGCCAGAAAAGTCTGGATGCTCAAAAAACAATAAAATAAAGTGATAAAAAGAACATTTTTGAGCGGTTAAAAGTCTGTCAGGAGAAATTCAGAAAAATAACGACACAAAACCACAAACAATAAGCTGTAAATAAATAAACAGAGACTGCACCTGAAGTTTTGATGAATTTCCAATGAATTGTTTTGTTTCTCCATTCCACAAATGATCATTTACACTTTGAAGGAAGTAGGCAGACCATCTCACTCAGAGCTCAGTAAATTATTCAGCATGCTGCTTCTGGAGCTCTAATGTTCACCAAACCAACAATTCTCTCACAAGATTACACCGACACGGCTATCTACTCAAAACGTGTCCTTTAAAGCATTCTCCCTTTAAGACGTTTTCATGTAATGACGTTTATTTTGTTTTGCCTATTAAGTGTCTTTAAGCTTCATCAAATGCACCTTCTAGCTGCTTCAGGACGGCTGCACATGCATTTAAAAGCTTTTTTTACTCTTCTGTCTCTTTCCTGACAGCTGTTTGGCTGTTTTCTGGCATGGGAGACCAGGAATGTGAGCATCCCTGCCCTAAATGACAGCAAATACATCGGGATGAGTGTGTACAATGTCGGAATCATGTGCATCATCGGAGCTGCGGTGTCTTTTCTGACCCGGGATCAGCCCAACGTTCAGTTCTGCATTGTAGCCCTGGTAATCATCTTCTGCAGCACCATCACACTCTGTCTGGTCTTCGTTCCCAAAGTAAGTATTTAAGTGTGTGCTGAAGTACAGTAGGGCAAGAAAGTATTTGGCAGCCACCGATTGTGTGAGCCGTCCCACTTGAAAAGTTTAGGGGTGTGATGCGTTTATCATAGGTACACTTCAAATGTGAGACTGAATGTAAAAAATCCAGGAAATCACATTGTATCATTTTAAAGATGTTTTCTGTATAATGATGCAGAAAATGCATCTTTATCTAGACTATGGTCAGCTCGGTCTGGGAGGGGGTAGGGTCGTTGAGCCTCTAATTGGCACAAGTAAAATCAGCCACCAGCGGCTTCCCGAATGGGCAATTCACTGACCATCTGATGCAGTGGGAGAAACATCTTCTCTGACTGCAGCTTGAACCGATCACAGCTGCAGTGCGAGGATCGACTGTCTACTGTAAGCGTTCTTGCATGGGAGAGGAACCCACGGCAGCACTGCTGCTCAAAGAGAGTAGGAAGCTGTGTGCTTCATGTCAGAGTCTCAAAAAGCAACACTGCTCATTAGGGATGGGTACCGAATTCGGTACTTTTTAAGGTACCGACCGAATTCCACAGTACCAACTGATCACATCGTTTCAAACGGTGCCTCGTTTCGGTACCCGTCCTTCAGCTAAATGAACTGTTTAAGATAACGTTAGCTTGAAAGTTTTGCTTCCATTGCCACCAATGTTTAACTAACAAGAAACCCAGACAGTTCCAGCATATTCCACCCCCATGCTTCACTGTTGAATCTGACTACATGACATTCTGCTAATGGTGCGTTCGCTTTCTCCTGGGAAATTCTAACTTCCCAGTAGGAAAAATCAAATAAAAAAGGACGGCAAAAGGAATGAAGATACACAGTAAATTTAGTTCACAGTAAAGATGTTTGCTTCAGTTTAATTATCAGCTTATAAAACTACAAGGACGATGCTAATACAAACAGTTGAATGTTATTTATCGTGATATTTATCAAATATGGTTATATATTGAGAAAAATATATAATTATAAAAGAGAATTAAAATAATAAACACTCAAAAGTATCTAAAATTGGTACCGTTAAGTACCGGTATCGATTCGTAGGTACCGGGAATTAGTACCGGATCGATTCAAATGCCAAAGGTACCCATTTCTACTCCTGCCTGCTTTTGTTCACTAACTTGTGTAGCTTAGAAATGACACCACTGGCTTCTCCTCGCCACTTTAGCAGAGCCTGTCTATGTCCTGCCCGTGTCCACATTCCTGAGAAGGATGTGTAAACACAACCTGACCGCATGGGGGTGGGATGTCCCCACCCGGCCCAGGCCGAGCTGAACAAAGTGTTTGGTCAATAACAAAAGTTTACCTCAATACTTTGTAATGGAACCTTAGTTAGCATTGACAGCGGCCAAACATGTCCTGTAGGTCTTCACCAGGTTTGCATGTGTAGCTGGTGTTTTGGTCCTATTCTTCCATGCAGATCTTCTTTCAAGCCGTGATGATTTGGGGCTGTTGCTAGGCAGCATTGACTTTCATCTGAGTCCACCGATTCTCTTTTGGACTGAGGTCTGGAGACTGGTTAGGCCTCTCCAGAACTTTGAAAAGCTTTTTTATGTCGCCACCCCCTTTGTTGCACAGGTGGTGTGTTTGGGATCATTGTCATGCTGGAAGATCTGGCCATGTTTCATCTTAAATGCTCTCACTGATGGTAGGAGGCCATTATACATGGCCCCATTCATCCTTTTCTTTATCCTGTCCTCTTTTTAGAAAAGCAGCGTTAAACCATAATGTTTCCACCCCCATGCTTCACTGTTGAATCTGACTACATGACATTCTACCAATCCTCCTCTGGATCATCCAGATGTTCTCTGGCAAACTTTAGGCTGGCCTAAACATCTGCTGCCATAAACAGGGGAACTTTTGGAACGCAGTAAGACCTAGTGTGTTACTAATAGTAAACGTTGTTGCTGTGGTCACAGCGCTCTCCTGGTCGTTGACCTGCTCCCTGTGTGTAGATTTGGGCTGTTTCCTCACTGTTCTGTAGATCATTTGTTCCCCATGAGGTGAGCTCTTGCATAGAGCCCCAGGTCGAGGGAGGTTATCAGTTATCTTTTATTAAATCAATTTTCTTATATTAGCCCCAACAGTTGAACCCTTCTCACCACACTGATTGCCTCCTTATGCAGGTGTGTCCCTGGTGTCCTTGGACTGCTCTCTGGTCTTGGCCATGGTGGAGGTTGGAGTCTGAGAGTGTGGACAGGTGTCTTTTATACAGAAAATGAGTTTAAACAGGTGCCATGAATGAATGTAATGAGTGGAGGATAGAATAGCTTTTTAAAGAAGAAATGACGGCTCTGTGAGTATCAGAATTCCACATTGGTGCTAAAAACTTGTTTACTGCACCATCACACAAATAAACTCTTAAAATTAGACGATGTGATTTCATGGATCTCCTTTTTACATTCTGCATCTGACAGTTGAAGTGTACCTATGGTAAAAGTTACAGGCCTCATCCTTTTGAGTCAAGCAACCAATCACTGGCTGCACAGTACATTTTAGTTCCGCCATATCAACGGATTCATCGACAAATTTGCCGCATGACACCTTTCCCTCTTCTTCATTTTTTAGTTAATCACCATGAGAACAAATCCAGATGCAGCTACCCAGAACCGAAGATTAAAGTTCACCCAAAATCAGAAGAAGGAAGATTCAAAAACCTCCACCTCAGTCACCAGTGTCAACCAAGCCAACACCTCCAGACTGGATGGTCTTCAAACGGACAACCACCGCCTTCGGATGAGGATAACTGAGGTCAGAGTCAGGACAGGAGCTGTGTGCCGAAAGCTAAGACACTAATGGAAAGAAGACATTTCCAATGTGATTTCTTAAAAGACACAATAATTAATCACAAGTTCAAAAGAAAAAGAAAGCCTTTGTCTCTTTTAAAGCTTTAAAGTAACAGCTTTTCTGCAGATGGTCGATTTTCCGTTTCATCAGTGATTTTCAGTCTTAATTACCGCTCATTAAGGTAATTGTTAAAAGTAGCTCTGGCCTCTTTAAAAGATGCATGCGTATTTCATAAAATTCATTTATCTGCACAACGAATGGCATTTAGAAAGGGAAAAGGAAGCTCCCACAGCAGTCACCTCAGCTGTGTGTAGCCCGGTCTGACGGATGAAATCCTGCCGCTGTCCCTTCTTGTTTTATCGTAGCTAAACGAGGAGTCGTGAGAAACTTTTGGAAGAACTTGTGGGTTTTGCAAGCAGCAGTCACAGTCGTCCACTTGGTGTGTGAAACCCAAACGCAGAGTTGGAGATAGACGGATCACATCTGGGAGCTTATTGACAGACGGAGTGATTTAGCACGAGAGCAGGAGAAGACGGAGACGTCCGGGAACCGGAGCACTCAGACAAGTGGTGGCAGGCTGACGGTTTGGTGAAATCTGAGGCACACAGAAACGAAACTATGGGGACGACGGTGGCGCAGCAGTTAAGTGCTCGCCCCGTAATCGGATGGTTGCAGGTTTGAGCCCCACTCAGTTTGTCGCTGTTGTTGTGCCCTTGGGCAAGGCACTTAACCCTGAGCACTGGCGCCACCGGTCACTCCAACCACCACCAGCAGGCGATGAGCAGCCTCACCTCTGCCAGTGCGCCCCAGGGCAGCTGTGGCTACATTGTAGCTTATCACCACCGGCGTGTGAATGGGTGAATGACTGTGTTGTAAAGCACCTTGGGGGGTTCTAGGACTCTAGAAGGCACTATATCAAATACAGGCCTTTTTTTATTATTATTATTACCCGCGGGTTGGTTTATAAAGCTAGAACAAAATGTAGCGGCAACTATAATCCGGTTTATCACTTCAAATGCACAGAAGCAGTTTATTTACAGAAACCAAACATAGAGCACAGAGGAAACATACTGGACAAACCCTCCATGACATCACTTATAGATTTCTGCGGGAGATAAATTAAAGGGTGGTTCCCGCCACCGCCATCTTGGCTATTTTACAAATCTCAGCACTACTAGAAAATACATAAATGATCAAAGAGGTGGAGCTGAGAGCAAGGGTCTGAGGATGAGTCCGCCGTTACTCCCAGCTACTGAGCTAATGGAGGTTTTCGGGCGCTTTGAACCAGAAACTCAACTCAATGAGCTGCAGTGTTTCTGTTGTATCCCTCAGAGATCTGCATAGGCGACAGGCAGAGCTTCAGCCTCAGACTGCAGCGATCAAAGCCGGCTGCCCAGGCAACAAGAGCTCCTACTCTGCTCCTCTGCAGCAGTCAGACATCTGCAGGGTTGCAGCTGTGGAAGAGAGGAAGACGGCACCAAAAACTGATCTCCCTCCTTTCCCACCAGTGGCCCTGCGGGGCTCTGACTGCAGTGTGGCGGCGGAGCCAGTACAGAGTCTTGGTATCCAGCCCTACTAACGCTCCATTTTTCAGCCCATTTTGACCCAGCAATGTAATGTTAAATGCAAAGCATTTTCCCCTATTCAACCAGTGAAACCATGCACAGAAATATAATTTTACTCACCGAAATAAATGAAGCAGAGACCTCTTGGGTGGTCTTTTAACGTGGGCTGAGGCTGGTGCTAGCCAGCTACCTGTCAAGCAAATCAAATTCATAATTTCAAGCTTTAATTACGTCAAAATTAAGAGTTACCAAAAAAATGACCCCCATTAGAGTTGTCATGACCGCAAACTAAACCTGTTAAAGGGGACAAAGAATCTAAACCAGCATGTTCTTGTTGTCTGTGAATAAAGACTGCCTGTGTGGTCAAAAGCTGCATATGAGTAAGTCAAAGCCGTGTGTGACCTGCTTTTTATGTAAATTAGAAAGTTTAAAAATGCAAGAGAAACTTCTCATGAAAACGTCACAATGTGGAGCCCTTCTTCCTCCAATCTGCAGTTTCCAGTGTCTCAGGCCTTTGGGTTTAAACCAACCAATCAACAAGCAGCTCATTAGCATATTCATGTCCTGGAGGGGGGACAGCTCTTTTCACAGCAAGGCTGATATAACGCCGGGGACACACCGGCCACGAAGCGCCGAGAAGCGAATCGCTCACGAAATTTGGCCGCTGCTTACCGCTCCTCAGTTCAGATCAGACACGTCCCAGTCGAGGCGCGCCTCGGCTCAGCTGTAGTTTTTCTTTTAAACACTTGGTGTCCTCCATTTCCTCTCTGCCTTTTCTCAGCTCTTTCCCTCTACGTTTGTGTGTGTGTGTGTGTGTGTGTGTGTGTGTGTGTGTGTGTGTGTGTGTGTGTGTGTGTGTGTGTGTGTGTGTGTGTGTGTGTGTGTGTGTGTGTGTGTGTGTGTGTGTGTGTGTGTGTGTGTGTGTGTGTGTGTGTGTGTGTGTGTGTGTGTGTGTGTGTGTGTGTGTGTGTGTGTGTGTGTGTGTGTGAACCTATGGTATGAGTTGTTTCTGCCAGTTGAATCTCTTGGAACCCGCTCCAATTCTGCAGCTGTATCCTAGCAGTTTCTTCCTAAATGGGTACGTAAACAATCATGTTTTTCGGGGGTCGTACAGCTCCTTGTGTTTCTCAACTTCCATAATTAATTTAAAGTCGTCCATCTTAACTGCTTGCCTCAGACTTTCTGCCTCTCTGTCCTGTTTGCTCCGGTGAAAAGACACCCAAAACCACTCCCCCTTCACGTGGTCACACACGCACACAAGTTCGATGTGTGTGTATGTGTGTGTGTGTGTGTGTGTGTGGTTTTTCTGCAGTGTCTGATTACGAACACATTTGACTATTGCGGAATTTTATTTTGAAATGCTTTATTTTGTTAAATTTACCGGCCTGCCTCTTATGTCTAGGTTTGACTTCCTGCCAGAATTGACGCGATTCACCTGCGGCTCGCGAAAAAAATAGAGCCGACGCCGAAATGATCGCTGCACGGAGCGGGCTGGAGCGCCGGCGCGAGGCGATTCGCGGCACTTCCGCGGCCCATGTGGTTTATAGAATAGCTCAACAAGGGCGCCGAATGAAGGCGGCCACAGTTTCGCGGCGCTTCCGCGGCCAGTGTGTCCTTGGCGTTAGAGGGGTTAGAATGGTCTGCATCAGGAATCCTGGGAAAGACAAAAGCCAAAATAACATTTCTTAGATTCAAAGCAGTAATTTAGATAGCTGATGAACTGCATTCTTTTTCCCTTTTAAACCTAAAATGATTTTGAACCAGGCTCTAAACTTGTTTATTCCTGCAATGAAATTGGCATTTTTGAAAGCTACAATGGCAACTTTGGAAATCAAATGAGCTTCAAACTTGTTTTCATGCCTCTTAACAACATTCTATCATAGTATAGCTATATAGTGTGAAGATTTAAAAAAATATATTTAAAAAATGTATAAAGTTGATTTGTCTCAAAACCTCCACCAATAAGACATTTGGAATAAAAGCAACTATTGGACCATCCAGTTGTTGGTCTCGCTGAACCTCCACACTTCCCTTGGTCCTCCATTCATTACACACTCGCGTATTTTGCAACAGACCACCACTTGTGTGAAAGGTTTTTGCTCAATAATATCAGAGAAGGAGAAATAGTCAGCTGCTACCACTTCAACTTTAGGACTAACTACCAGAGTCCCAAAAAGACGTTTGGAACTAGAAAACGGCGACTGGTGTTCAGCACTATCTCGTTTCCTCCGGCGGAGGCGTCTCAGGGAAGATACCAGAGGGGTGAGTGTTCAGTGACCGTGTTTGCATTAAAATCCTAGCTTGTTTACAGATTCGCTGTAACAGCTTTAATACAGGAGTCGATGAGAAATGTCTCTGTTTTGAAGCCAGCACCTAGTGGGTGACAGGGGGAACTGCAACTTTTGTCATTTCTGTGTTGGCTTCCATAAAAGGCGGCCCCTTGACATAAACTGATGATAAATTCGTTTTGTTGTATTTACAGTTGGACAAGGAGCTGGAGGAAGTGACCATGCAGCTGCAGGATACACCGGAGAAAACGCCCTACATCAAGCAGAACCATTACCCAGATGCCAATAACATTCTGAGCATACGCAACTTCACTGACGGGAAAGGTGAGGAGCTAGCAAAATGTCATGAGTCAGTAAAAATAATGCTCACTTTCATGGTAAACCACCTAATGAAAAACCCCATTTCATGTTTCTGGAGTCGATCTGAAATCATGACTCTGAAGCTGCTGTTGCCATGGTGATCTAGCCAGCCCCAAAGAGATCCCCCTTCAAGATACAGAAACCCCCCAGCTTTCAGCCCAATTGAGACGATCCATCTCTACGTGTCGCATCTGTCTCAGATCTTGTCTCTTCATTCTCCCTCCACCTTCTGCGCTGCACCGGCTGTTTAGCTCGTTGCAGCTTTGACTTGATGAAATCTGCTGCCTCAAACTGAGACGGTGAATCATCGCAACTCAGCAGTATCACGTTGCATTAGGCGCCGTTGTAAGAGACATGGAGTGAAGGTGATGCACTGCAGCCAGATTCTGCATGTCTGAAGATGGTGCACACATCAGCAAGCTGCTCCCACGAGTGTTTAATGGATTTGTGTGAATTGGGGAGAGGTAGAAAGGCAACACAGCTGGGCTCACTCGGCGGACAGGCAGTGGAGTGTGTTGGCATTCTCTGATGGGTTCTTCTATACAACTATGGTTACACAATGAACACGTGGCTGTTAATGAACACACTAAAGTGACTGCTTCTTTACACAAAAGGCACACACACACACACACACACACTCCTTTGGAACTAAAAAAATTATTTTTCTGTGTTGGATCACTTGTGGATTATTAGACAGCAAAGCCAAAACAAGGTTAGACTGATTTACGTGGTATCCTCTGGTAACTGAGCATCGTTTTCTGTGGGGACAGAATACGATGTGAGCGCCAGGATTGTCCTACTTAGTAAAAAATGAATGCATGAGCTACCATCTGTGAGGATTTATGACCTGCAATTTTTTAAGGAATTTTAATCGGAATACTTCAGAAAAATCCTTCCTTCATTCATCTGACTTGCTAGAAAAGTGACTACAACAACTAGAGCCAAGTGTTTGTGATAACTCGTGGTTAGGGTCAGGGAGCCTCACACATCCCTGAGTTTTTTTCTACTCTTCTTTGTGGAATTATTTTATTTTATTCACATTGGAGGGTTTTCCAGAATGAATGGCTAGTTTAAGGTCAAAGGTCAGACGTTTTCCTGGTGTATAGCAGAATTCATGGCTCCAAAGCAGAGCCAGGCCATCACATCATCACATCACATTTGACTGATTGAATGAACGTCTTTCTCTTAAAGTAGTCGTTTCACACTTTCTGAAAATTTCAACTTTTACCTCAATAGTCCAGAAAATATTTTTTCCCAAATTCTGAGAAATCATCAAGATGCATTTTGGTAGACATGGGATGAACCGTTTCTGTTTTGAACCTTGTTTTTGAACAATGTGTTTTTTCTGAACCTTCCTAACAATGCCAAACCATCTCTTATTGTTTAATCTGGATTAAGGTTTGGGTCACAGTCCTTTTTGGCCTTGAACTTCTTCTGAACGAGGCACGGTGTGTTTCATGTTTAGTTCTTTTAGCCTAATTCTTGTTGTCAGACTTAATTCTAGACACTAATCAGGCCAGGGTGTGGATGATGAAACTGAACTCATCTTATATATATGTATATGTATATATATATATATATATATATATATATATATATATATATATATATATATATATATACATGCATATATATACATGCATATATATATACATGCATATATATATACACACATATATATATATATATATATATATATATATATATATATATATATATATATATATATATATATATATATATATATACCCACATATATATATATATATATATGTGGGTATATATATATATATATATATATGTGGGTATATATATATATATATATATATATATATATATATATACATGCATATATATATACATGCATATATATACACATATATATACACATATATATATATATATATATATGTGGGTATATATATATGTATATATATATACCCATATATATATATATATATATATATATATATATATATATATATATATATATATATATATATATATATATATATATATATATGGGTATATATATGTATATATATGTATGTATATATATACATATATATACACACACATATATATATATATATATATATATATATATATATATATATATATATATATATATATATATGTGGGTATATATATATGTATATATATACATACATATATATACATATAGATATACATATATATAAGAAACCTGAAATGGTGTAGATTAGGACTGTGAGAAAATGTTGTTACACTGAAGTTGTGTAATATTTCATGTTATGATACTGAATCAATATTTAAAAGCAGTGTGTGATTTTTTTTTTCACTGAAAATTTACATGTAAACATTTACTGTATTTTTTGTGTAGTGCAACTCAAACTCTGACCGCTAGGTGGCAGCCGCTTTTACACCCTTCACTCTGATGGATCGAGATCTTGCGATGAAACTGGATGTGTCTTGGAAGTGTCGGAACTGAGTTTTCCAAAAAAATTCTGCCTTAAAAATTGAAAATATCAATTGGCTTTTAGTATTGCAACATATCGTATTGTTTCTCCTGTATTGGGATATCGCCAGATCATTGCCAGTACACGCCCCAAATGCAACTACTTTTTCACAGCGCTGAATAATTGTCTTTTAATGAGGCAACGTCATTATTTACATGGTAGTTGCGGCACATAATCTGCCTTCAGATCAACTCATCCTGATCTATCCTGATTTTACCACCTGAAAAATAAGTCTCAGTCATGATTTGATAGGACCAAGGCAGTAAAGAGATTCGATATGGCAAAGCAGCAACTCGTTAGGCCTCCTCTTAAGACCAGCAGCATGCAAACTTTTTTCAGCCTCAGAATGTTTATGCATCATCACTGCCTCCTAGCTGTAGTCATCCGCATTCTGAATAGAGCTGGTCTAAACATGTAGGCGGCTGTGAATGAGTGGTTGTTCTAAGACAAGTACGCTGCGTCAACAGTGATTACACTCACTCACAAAGGGTTAGAGGCAGCGCTACACCTCTCTCCCTCTCTGTAACTGTCTTCTTGAATATACAAATGCACGGGGTGATGCTGGAGAAGACCAGCTGATGACAGATTACGTGTGTTTGTCTGACAGTCAGAAAGCCTTGGCCTGATTTTAGCCTCAGTTAAATGTTAGTGTTACAAACTGACAGTTCTGTGTCTGCTACTTCTAGACCACGTTGCTGCTAAACTGGCAATAAATCACAGTGATTATTATTTTATCCAATTAAATGTTAAGAGACACGATGAAAAATCAATTGTTTCAAGAAGAATACATTAAAGGAGCAATATGTAAGAATGCTACAGTTTATCCCAAAACAGTCAAATGTGTCATTAACGCTGGAAGGAAGGTTACATAGAAACCTATTTCATTCTCAACGGAAAGTAGCTATTGTTTACAATTAGAGAGTTTGTGAGGTTGCCAAGTTTGTGCCGAGCTAATACTGCAGCACTAGCATTTGGTAATTCAACACCGGCAGACAAAAGCTCCAAAGTTGTTCAAAGAACTGAAGCCAGTAAACGAGAGCGAACCAGAAGTTATTTCTTGTACTCCTGAAGAAGCCACAGCACCTTTTTGGTTTACTCTGTAATCGGATGAAGCAAGCTAGAGGCTAACGTTGAGCTAACAATGCTAACGATGAATTAGAAGCAAATACTCTGCCCTAAATATGTCTCAAGTTACTTTTTCAATTACCAACAACTCAATATTACAGTTAAATGTGTGTGTGTGAGGTGAATAATGAATCAATGGTGGCATTTGCCCTCCTTTAATGAGTTGTTCAGAACTATAACAACAAGCTACCGTAAAACACCCAAAAGTGCTCATGTTTTAATTGTTTGCTGCTTGAGCACCAATCCCCCTTATTAATCTATCAGCTTACTATGTATGACCCGCCTTCGTTATCTAGAATCTTCTGGCACTGATCAGTAACGGGCAACAGCCATGAAACTCGTAGAGCGGGAATGAAATGTGATTTTTGCTATAGAAAAAGAGACTGCAGTAACCAAATGTGACCACAGGATGTAATTTTTTATGCCGTTCTTACATATTGCACCATTAAATATGTTAATTCAAAGGCTTGGTATACATGAAATTAATACCGGGATTAAAAAATTCTGTATGTTGGTTTAATACAACACTTTCTCTCTTTCTAAAGAATATCAGTTATTAAGACATTTTTTACCGTGACATTTATTCTAAAAAGTTATATTTAAACCTTGCCTTTTATTAGCATTTCCCAGTTTATTCTTACAGACTCAGTTTTTTTTTGATTAATTGATGAAAAGGAGCAAAATATAATCATTTTATTAGACTTGTGTTGCTACGTTCAAATAAAAATAAGAACCAGAAAAATGTGCATCCATCCAAAGGAAATTTATTTTATGACCTTAAATAGGATTTTATGGTTAAACTGATGATTAAATTTTTTTTTTGTTTGTTTTTTTAAGTTTGCCAGTGAGCTCATTGCAAGGGTTTACAGCTGCAGAAAGTCCTGGCTGCAAAGCCGTGAGGTCACTTCAATCCCGAGAATTTATTTTTGTAGCAAAAACACATAAATGTGTGCCAGTGCCTTAAACGTAAATCTGAAAGGTTTGGGTCTTCTCGCTGTGCAAGCAGAACTAAAATAGTTCCACAAGCCCGTGCAGGTGAACAGTGCTGGCTTCAGTAAAGCAGGTCAGCAAGTCCTGGAGGTATCTGGGACACGTGTGGGGCCACCAGGAGCGATCTGCTGCTCTGTAGTTTGGGTTAATTTAAGTTACGATCTTCTGTGACTGAAATATTTAATTAGCGTCCTCCCTGTTGAAGAAAACTGACAAACATACAGATTTGGCTCATCATCAGCTCATTGTTGCTGCTGAGACATGTCCTTCATGGTTTTTACATTTGATCGTGCTTTTTGTTTTGACAGCCAGCTGCTGTTTTACTCGTGCTTTCTTAGATGCATCTCATGTGCACATGTGACAGTCAGCTACACTCCGTACCCACATCAAGACTCTGAACTGAGCTGCTCTTGTCCACAGAGTTATTAATGAATAGAAAAGATTGAAATTACATAAAGCACAATATATTACATACCAGATGTGAAACCATGAAGGTTGTGACCAAAATTACATAATATGGCTGAGGTAGGCGACACTTCGTCCACCCATCCACACACTGATGGTGAGCTGTGTAAACCTAGATTTGTGTCTTCAAAGTCACAGAGTGACACCTTCGGACATGTGTTCATCTATTCGCTAATCATAGATAAACGTCCAGATAGCCTCGATGAGCTCATTCTTCATTGTTTGCTGCTTGAGCGCCAGTTCCCTGTTGGCTTTTATATTTGTATAAAACAACTGAGAAGCAAAGTATGACGTCACGTTGCCTCATTATCTTTCTTTCATGTCTACACATGTTTCGTTGCAGATGGAGAGAAATCAATACTGAAAAACCACCTGGAGCAGAAACCACAAGCACAGTGGGGCTCCATGGATCCTTCCAGAATAAGCAGAGGTCCCCTTGAGGATATCAACTCACCTGAACAGTGAGTGCTCATATTTCCATAGCGCCTAAGCTCCCGCATCCTATCCTCCTTCCTGTAACTCATCAGACTGCACGTCACATGTAGAGCAACCACATGCAACTTTCAGGCAGTTGCTGTGGCAACGGAGCCCCGTGAAAGCATGGCTCAGCTCTGAATTTCTCTCTCCCACGCCTGTCACCAGACATGTGCACTCGTGAACTGCCGGTGTGCAGGAAACACTGCACACACTCTCCATCACATGCAGGCTGATTGATTTGTTGCCCCAACTTGAAAAAGCTGATGTCACGGACACTCCGAACACTCGTGCAATAAAACATGTGCATCCAGTTTCATTTATTATTCATAAGGCAGCAAAACAGAGGAGTGACGACTTCATCAGCAGGGAGAGGGGACATTTCATGCATCATTGAGATTTCTGCCTCCTACGGTGTTTTTTTTTTTCTGCTAGAACCGGGAGCGGGATGCCAGCTGGATGGAGAGAGAGGCAGACAAAGAGAGTGCAAAATTAGGAAGTGTTACAGTGAAAATGATAGACTAAGAGAGACCGCTGTTTCGGTAGAGAAGAGGGGAGGTAGAGACCCACATAGGTTATATAACAGCTGCATGTGAAGGAGCTCTGAAAATAGACGGGAGGAGAACAGAAGTAAAGAAACATTCAGAGCCTTTCCCATTCCACATGAATGTTTGATCACGACGAGGGAAGGGCGATGAAGAGGCAGCAAGAGAGAAGGTGAAGAGCAAACGAACAACTAGAAGTTAGAATAGATTTAAACGGGACAGAATGGATGCTACCTTTAAAAGATGTTTGTGTTTCCATCTGGTTGGGATCAACACGAGACATCCCTCCATTCATTTGCTCCACAAGCTTGGATTTCATAACCCCCTCTTGTAATTTTTACATAAGCATTAGTTTTCTTGGAGACGACTGGCGGTGGTGAGACGTTGTGTGAAGTGTCAGCAGGCTGAAGCATGAAACGCTCTTGTTGACAGATGATCCCAAAAGCTGGGAGGGAGTGGTGGGACATAGACTCAAGAAGAAGGGAAGCTCCAATGGCTAAATGTTAAATAGACATGAGGTGGCTTTTTCAGTAGGGATGCTTGATATTGAAATTTTTTTCCCGAAATCCAATACACCGATATTGTTGACTCTTAAATAAAGATATCAATATATGCTGTCCCCCCCCCCACACACACACACACACACACACCCCTGTGTTACCATGCGTGCTTACATTTTAAACTTTTTATAAACAAAGTGAAAACTACTTCAGTTTAGTTTCGTAATAGGAAAAGTGCCACGTTTAGTTTGACTCCAACAGCAGCAAAATCTCATTATCCCTAAGCTAAGATGTGTTTATTAAAATAAAATTAAATTAAACGTTATTTTATTAAATTTCATAGACTTTCTTAATCCCAAAGTGGGGAAATTGACTTGCAGCACTTAGAGAAAAGGAAGAAGAATAATTACAAGCTTACAGGTAAAAACACAAAGGTCAGAAGCTGTTATTTCAACCTTCAACCACCAAAAACAATGAATAAAAGGAAACTTGGGTTTCCAGAAGTTTGCAGCATGAAGGACCCAGACATGTTAATGTACATCTGGTATTGAACGCATACTGAATAATATACTGAAAGTAGCTGAAGAGTTTGATGTATAATATGTGTATGGTATGTAAAAGTTGAACATGAAAAGACTGAAAACGGATTATTTTTCTATATTAAATTTTAATGCTAATATTGGCCGATATTATTGATGGAGCAAGAAAATCGAGCATCTGTACTTATCAGACTGGGAAATTGCTCATATTCACCCTCTAAACCATCTTATCTGTATTTTTTAAACTACATTTCTCATATTTTATTAACAAAACCAAAAAGGGTCACTCTAGATTTCCCACCGCTAGTTTTTTTTTGTAAATTTGGTACCATAAGTCCCATAAAAATACAATATTTTGATCTTTCTGCTCATAACATCAAATAATTCCTGATTTGTCTCCTAATCCTTCTGTCACCCTGAACAGTGTGATGATATGACCAAGGCTCCAGAACTGAGCACAGGTGTTTCCCGTTGGTTTGTCATCGATATTCTGCGATGCGATTTCAAATCAATGCACAGAAATTATTAGGAACAGAATATTCCATGAAAGCAGCTCATGGAGCATGATGAATTAACGTGATGTCCTGATCAAATGGGTTGTTGAAATTAGGACAGTGATTGAAGTTGGGGCCACTGACTAGATCAGAGCTGCAAACATTCATTTGTTCTGATTGAACTAGACAGTCTCACAATGATTTCAACATTATGAATATAATAGGTTGTCAAAAGGGTTACCAACCTAATTTTTCTGTTATTTATCATCATATCTAGAATGTAGCCTTTTATTTCTAAGATTAACTTTTTTTAAATAACTTTTAATTAATGTTCCAACATTTTACAAGGACACCCTATCCCTACATATTTATAATTTTATTTGGACTTTTTTTTACCCAAAGAAATATTCACTAAACCTAACGGTTTAAGACAAAAGCTTAATTACAGTGCACCAAAATGAGTAAAAACAAATTGTCCCAGCAAAACTCTGTTAAATAACTGGCGATTGCCAATAAAGTACAAGAAGGTACGTGCAATCATTCCCTTCTAAATGTGTCAATGAAACCAGGACAACACAGATAGATGCTTGGGACCTAATACCTGTAATCTTTGTGTTCATTCTCTTTCTGCACACTGGTGACTCCAACTTTACGGCTTTTCAATGATGACAAATTATTCAAATTATTTTCATTTTTAATTAATCTTTTTATCAAAAGTAACAACAGTTGAATTTGGTCCATTTGTTTCTTTGTAGCTCAGCTCTTCGTCAATAAATCTAACATCTTTGGAAAATCCCATGAGCCAATCCAAATTGGTGCCAATCGTGGGTTGAGCAGCAGAGTTGAGCATGTAAGTTACGTCCAGAAAAAACTAGCCTGACTTCATGTGCCAACGCCAAAGAGCTTATTCTGCTACTGACTCAGGGATCGTTTACTGGAGTGGATGGTTGAAGTTGGAAGAAACACGACATATTGGCGATGAGTCCGTGTTCTGCCTTCAACATTTGGATTGTAAGGTCAAAATGTAGAGGGGACTTGGATAACGCTGTGCTGTGCTGTCACCACAGGATTCAATCTCATTGTATATCCCCCAAGATGGTAATGTTTGCCCTACAGAGCAACTGAAGACCTTTAGATTTATTGAAGGGTTTTCTGAAGACTACCTGAATAATTTAGGATTGGAGAAGATGGAATGGCCCCATTTAGCACTTGGGATACATGAGCTTGGGAGTGCTGTTTAAACCCAACAGAACCACACTGCCTGTTTAGTGACAAATGCTGGTTGAGGAATGAGGTAACTTCCCACAGCAGTGTGTGATCAAGCTGATTTCAGACTAGGGAGAAGTTATCAGACTGTTGTTTGAGGTTGTTTCACTTGCTACAGAGGACCATGTTCATTATCTTTCTTCATACATCAATCATCCAATCCAATAAACAACACCAACGAAGAGTCCAGCACTTCGGCATTGGCTGGGAAGATTTAGCTAGTTTTTTCCTGGGTTGCAACTAGTGGTGTGCATCTCTACCTGCCTCACGATTCGATCCGATTCCGATTATCTGCCTAACGATTCGATTTGAGTCTGAAATGCATCACGATTCTTCACACAAAAATGTTCATTACTTAATAAAAGCAGTAGAATAGTTTTCAATTTCTTTTTGATTTCGAAATCCCTGAAAAACAGAACATTCATCTATTCACTATAGTGAGCAATAATGTTTAAAGTGTGCTGCCTATAATTACTTAAATAATTCAAGAAATAATGTTTTCGGTAGAGCAGCTTTAAGATAGAATATTACTGAACTTAAAAAGAGTAAACAAATACTGTGTTAAGTGATTCTTTCACATCCAGGATCCCAAAACAGAAATTAGCCCAGACATCCGATTTAAATGTAACGGGTACATCTTTGATTACTGGTACTGTTGGCCCTGTATCCCTGTCCAATTGCTTCTAGGACAACGCAGTGCGCATGTCATTGCAACTCTGCCCCCAGAAGTAATAACTCAAAATTTTATTGTCCTCGCATAGACATAGACCAGGGGTCGGCAACCTGTTCCCATCCCGTTTCCCACAGTAAAGAAAACACTGCAGCAGCCACGGCGTTGTGGGCGGGGCCTACCCTCAGACAGCAGCCGGTACCGGTCACTCGTGTACGTCAAAGTTATCTTTCATAAGAAGATAATCAATAAAACGATTTATATAAAGTGGATCCAGAAGTTGTAGCCCGTCTCTGCCGACAATATTTTGATATTTTTCACCCTGTTGGTGGTTTTACTGAGCAGGTGCCACTTTTGTCATACGTTTCATTTTTAAAACATGTTTAGACTGTTCAGAATACAAATCCAGGCTCTGTCATGTTTGATTGTTGTAATTAAACTTTGTAGGTGGGGAAGGTCAGAAAAGGATCCGATCATTTTGTTTTTCCCTCATTTACAGCGACGGAGATAACGGTGCAGTGCTCCTGGCTCTGGTGTTAATCATGTTAAATTATATCTATTTTCACAAGAAAACAAAACAGTTAAAAGCAGGGCTTGTGTTGTGTTGACCGGATAGTTCCCGTTTTATGCAGACGAACTGACATTTTATTCGTTTCGCGCAGATGTAGCTAAATCACTCAAGAAAAGATTCCCATCTAAGCTGGACACTGAGCTCAGCGCAGCTCGCTGTCAGTGCGTACGTACGGCGCACAGTGACCTGAAGATGTGGAGAGGGGCTTTGAGCGCATCGCAGAACCAGAGCGCATGCAGGAAGATTCCTCCGACTGAAGCGAGACTTGTCACGTAGAAAATGTTCCCTGATTATGAAACTTTGGCTGAATAGCGCTTGTTCCTGTCTCCAATGTGGCGACACATCCAGGAGCCGTCTGAGGAGAATCCCAGAATCTCACATCCTCGTCAGCTCAGAACACGCATATGATTACGCACAAGCGTGACGCGTCAACCCGGTCTCACAGTAAGACCGGTTTGGACCTGTTCAGGTTTACGCAGACAATCTTTACATTTAGAATTGGCTTACAGATGTAAAATTAATGCAGTAAAATATAAAGCATTTCATTTAAATATCCATTCATTATTTTACAAGCACAGAGAGCCGCATCAGATGGATGGAAGAGCCGCATGCGGCTCCAGAGCCACGGTTGCCGACCCCCGATAGGGAGAGAATCTCATTATGTCACGTTGCTGCATCGATGCGGAATCACGCAAGGCTGAATCGTGATGCATCTTAGAATCGATCATTTTTCCCACCTCTAGTTGCAACCCACTATTGAATTTTCCTAAGTAAGTAGGAGTAAGCAGACTTCCCAACAGTATAAGACTTATTTTCAAGGTGCATTGCTACAACAAAGACATGGGTGATTTTTTTCAGATTTTGTAATGTCTAACTAACAACCACACACAATTGTAAGATCTAACAATTTTCCTTCCATTTCTTTATTTGCAGCATACAGCGTCGACTGTCTTTGCAGCTGCCCATTCTGCACCATGCATACCTACCTTCCATAGGTGGGGTTGATGCCAGCTGCACCAGCCCGAATGGAAGCCCAGGTTCCAGCCCAAGGCACAGACACATGCCCCCCTCCTACCGAGTAATGGTCTCTGGCCTGTGAGCTTCGGCATCCCTCCCACCTTGTGTTTTGCAGAGGAGACACAAATGGTTCTTTTTTTTCTACAACGAATAGACTGATATCGTCAGCGTCTGTGCGTATTTTGTCTTGGACCATATAAGACTTGGGGAGAACAGAATGAGGGGGGACCAAGTTTCACTCATTATACCTCTGCACCCCCAGTCTCTTGAGAACTGAGTGTCGGTCCTTAAAAACGTTTGTGATTAACATCCCTTTGGCCATCTTCCCCTCAATCTAGGCCTATACACGTATGCACAGTCAGACACAGACAACACAGATACAAATGCACAAACACAATGACAGTCCAACAGCTGCGGTGGACCAGCTCTAATCTCATGTGTAGCCTTATCTGCTTCAGAGGGGATTATTTGTTTCTGTCAAATTTTTTTATCTGTTGTATGTACTGTATGTGCTTGCAGCTACATCTGAGCATGTCATCGAACTTGAGCATTTTAGTGCTTCAGAGATTGGATATTAGTTAAAGAACAAGAAATGTGCAAGATCCTACAAAACAGAAAGACACCACCCCCTTTCCAACCCTGTGCAGACATGTAAATATCATCGTTTCCAACATTGATGTACTGTAAAATGTGTATATGCTGTGAATGGATGATTAAAGGGGTTTTTAAGTTTGAACTGTGTAACAGAAGCAAGTAGATATGAACATCTCCATTGAAAACCTACAAAACAAAGTCTCCTATACATCAGAGGAATACCAAATACATTTGTTAGCGTAACTATTATTATAGTAGGTTACAGGCATCAAACAGACGCATGTCATATTTGTCCAATCTGGACGTAGGTTCACAGTGCTCTTTTTTCTGTTTTGCTCATCATTCCGCTGCTAGTTTATGTTAGAGCCCCCTTGTCAGGCTTAGCTGAGGCTTCCATACTCTACGGCTGGTTTGATTTATCTTCAGAAGGCATGTCTTACAGAAAATGGATGCTATGTCTTTTAATAGGTCTCCTAGTATGTGTTAGAAAAATAGAACAAAAAATAAAACACCACAGGATTTATTTTACATGTTACATAATAGGAAATGCACAAATACAGATGTTCACTTAAAAGCCAAAAGAGCACCATATGATTTACAGCTAAGGATGCATGAATTCGTATTGAAACCCACGGGTTTATCCATATGGATTACTAAGATGTCATATCTAACTACCATTCAGAGCATTGGGGGTGTCATTGACCTAGAATTGGAAGAGTTTCTAAGGAATGAAGCAAATTCAGAAGAAACAAAACTAAACGAGGGACGGTGGAAAAAATGTAGGTTTACTGTGGGAAACCTGAATTTCCATCCAAAGTCATAAAGGCAGTAGACTCGTGGAGGTCTGGAGTTCTTAGCCCCAAGTGACTGTAGCTTCAGTTTCCATGCAGCGACGCCACAGCTGTTGGTCACGGAGGTGCACCACAAACACAGGGCTTTCTTTCACAGATCAGACCAAGTATCCAGAAAAAATCGTTCATGCTTAGCAACAGTGAACATACCTCGTTGCTACAGAAATGTAAACCCGATGAAGCGTCGCGTGTAACGTTTTTTCAAGAGTATCGTTGGTTTTCACAAAACCAGGAAGTGCAGAAGGAAAGCAAACTGGAACTCTGTTGGAGGGGGGTGAAATACTTTTTTATCGGCAGTGAGAAGGTTCGTTCTCAGCATATTGTTTCACCATTGGTGTCTTGGTTTTTATTTTTTAAGGCGTTTGTTAAACGCTGTGCCTGTTGTCTTATCTTGTAGCCTGCAGGACCCACACTACGTACTCTGGGTCAGGATTGCGCTTACCCAGCAACGTGCATTGGCCACACATCTGTAAAACTGTACAATGTGTCATAGATCAACTTAACGTGTCTGTGAACGGGACAGTGTGGGGCGTAGCTCCGCTTCCAGCCCTCGTTTGTGAACACTGGTGGAGCGGAAATACAAACAAGCAGAGACCCAACTGCTGTCAGACATATCGGGGTGACTCCCACTCCTCCCCTTCCAGGCCCTGCCACGCACAGGAGCAGGGAAACCCTGAGCACAGAATCTCCAAGGAGTCACAGTTCCTCCTGCACCTTTGCCAACCAGAGAATCACAGTTACAGAAGATGTGAGTGGGGAGACGATATCGAGAGGGTTGGTTCTTCCTTCAGGAGAAATAAAAAATAAAAAAAACAGCCAACCTGCACATTTTATATATGACATTATATGTGATTGTGTACAATTTGCTGATACCCTGATGATGGTGTCCATGTATGGAGTATTTGGTATTGGCTTTCTCAAGATGGCATGAAATAAAATGTATAACTCACAGAGTTACCTCTGTTTTTGCAACTGTTGTGACAAACCCACTCTGTTCCATCTTCTCATCTGCAATTTGGTTGATTCCCTTCTGAGTTTTCGTTAATCCTGCCGTCAACGCCAAGATTCTCAGTGAACAAACTCGACATATTCCTATCAAACTGGTTAAGCACCTGTTTACTGAGAGCAATAAAGCTAAAGCAGCAGCTACTGGTTAATTTTAATGAAACCACCCCTGTAATTTACAAAAATACTAAATTATTTTTTCTAAACCATCCAAAACCCCAAAAGCAGATCACGAGGTGTCATTTCGTTTTAATGCATGTATTCTGTTATCAATCATTTCAGTTGTTTTCATGGATAAAAATAATGTTCAAATGCCATTATTGTGGGTCAAGGGCTCGTACTATCCTGTAATGAAGAGCGCCATGCTGATGGTTTGTATTTGCCACAGGTCTGTTTACCTTTTCAGTTGGAAAACCGATGTGACATATATAATAATATCTTTGTATGTTTCATTGTCAGGTTCTCTGGAGAATACAACTTACAAATGCAGAAATATAATGATATGAAAAGTTTATTAAGTGGAGAAACACAAAGGTCCATTCTGTTACTGTTTTGTCATTTCTGACGTGGGCATCACGTTCAATCCCAACTTTAAAACGATGAACAAAACTTATATTAATGCAACTTGTTCAAGAGGGGCAATAACTTGTTTTCTTATTATGGAAAGAATAGAGAATTATATATATATATATATAAATAAATAAATATATGTATATGTAAAGATCCTTATGTACGTTCTCGTTTTTAGGAAACATTTCACAAAAATGTCACAAGGGTTCTTTAAAGTATTTTTTATTTACAGTATCTGTAACAATGTTATGTACAGATCAGCAGGTCTAGATATGAAGAAGTTGTGTTAAAAAAATAAAAATAAAAAAAAAGCATCACATTTGAGACACCTGAACAATTTTTTGTTGTTGTTTTGAGGACAGGGCGGGGATTTGAAAAACATTCTTTTGTTGTTGTTGTCTGAATGTTAAGGGCAGCCTTTACTTTTCACATCATCATTAAATAAAGTGTTAATTAAAATAAATCCGCGTTTGTCTGTCTGTGGAAGTCAATAACTCTTGTTTGGAGAGGGATGCAAAAGTTCATGATTTTCCTTAATAAATCGTTTTTTGTTACAGTAAAAAAAATCTGTTAAATATATCATAGAAGACACACACACAGTGATACTTGAGAAGTGAAACGAAGTTGAAAGGATTTACAGAAAGTTTGAAAGAATTGTTTAAACTAAATTAGGCAGATTCATACATTTGGGCACCACAAAAAACAAATTAACTACATTTTTAGTAGATCCTCCTTTTGCGGAATAAACAGCCTCGAAACGCTTCCTACAGCATAGCTCCCTGTGAGAGTCTGGATTCCGGTTGAAGGCGTTTTGGACCATTCTTCTTTACAAAACATCTCTAGTTCATTCAGGTTTGATGGCTTCTGAGCATGGAAGTGCAATATCTCGCTCTGACACCGCTTCCCCTAAAACGTGATGGTGAACTATCTTGGTTTTCAGGGCTTTTGAAAGTTGTTTTGAGACCCGGTGTTGCTGCCATTCAGAGAATAATCAGAGGAGGGAAACGTACAATTGGCCCTTTTAATATTCTTTCTCATAATTGGATTCACCTGTATGGATATGTAGCATGCAACCATTGACATCACAAATGACCAGAAATTAACTTTTAATTTGCAGACACAAACATCTCATCTGTCTGGCCTCCATACAAGAAGCACTGCACAGGGCCTCGCCGCCGGACAAAGGACACATAAATGTCCTAGCTACCATATCTTGGCTGGAACTAAAGTCATGCGGAAGGAGAGACTTTCTGCACTTCCCTCTGAATTAAGTTCATCTTCCGTGAATCATAAATTACTTTTTAAATCTTTATAATTGCATAAGTGTCATAATCATCTCTTGTTAAATCCCAAAGTGTTTGAATTATCTGTGCATTAATTAAATTTGTGTTAAAATTAATATTTTATTATTTTATCTTATATCGTATTTGTTGATTTTACAAGTGAATCTATCAGTAAACTCGTACATCATAAGATTAATATTAAGGTCTAACATACACTTCACATAAATGTTTAAAACATTTCCACTTCACACTGAGAGTTGACCTCTGAGCGAAGGCGTGATTTCCGAGGTTTTGTTAACGCCTCTTTAACGTGTCAAATTCCAGTTTGTCAAAGTTTATAAACAAAAGTTAATGAAAGCTAGAACACTTCCTGGTCTAGTCTAGCCTGGCAAGCCAGACTAAATAAATGTATTATTTAGTCTGGCCATGCTCCATTGACGGCTCTCGGTTGTGGGGCGGGTTCTACCGTTGTCTTTCAAATGATCTCCACATTCCACTGGACAATGAATGTGACATACTCTTGTTTCACTCTGTTGCATCATCCCACCCACCAGGCATATAGAGTGCCCTGATTGGCCCACAAAGCGGATAAAGCTCTGTGATTTGTTCACTAAGCAGATAGAGCACTATGATTGGCCCACCATTATGGACCAATCACAGCTCTTTATGTGTTTGAAACCCCTCTAGAGAGCTGTGATTGGCTAGCCAGAGTCCTGGTAGGAGCTGCTGAGGTTCCAATGGAGCATGCCTAGACCATTCTTTGCAAAGCAAGAATTTGGTCTAGTTCACTAGGCTAGGTCTAGTCAGTCTTCGCCGTTCACTTGATTCGGCCAATCGGGTGAAGCATTTAGAGACCATCCTCATTTTTGACCTAAAAGGTCACGGTCGCTCTGCAACGCTCGGGCGTGATTTCAGACACAACGGCTCCAACACCTCAAACGTGGAGCATCTAACCTGCAGGCCCGGGCTGCATCTCATGGCCGGTGAAAGCTGAATTCAAAGGGAGCTACAACTCTTTCTGTTCTCGTGGTCTCAACGTCAACAAGGGTATTGTAGACTGCACACGGGCATCGGATGTTTTTACACTAAATAAAGTTTAGCTCATCAAACCATCCAGCCAAACTGATTTTACAACCCAGACTTCACAAGCTCAAGCATTTATAAAGTTTTCCTAAAACAACTAGCTCACATTCCACCATTCATCATCTGTTATATGTACATCACCATTTCAATCACACTTTGTTGTGTACAGTCATTTAGTTTATTAAAATAGAATAAAACCATTTTTATAAACTATGTGCACGACTCTGTCCGGATTAATATGAAGTGTGTGTTCCCTGAACGAGTCAAAGAAACTAAAGTCTTCTGATTAAACATTCAAAGACCAATCAGATTGATATTTCATATTTATTTGCAACATCACATCTTATTGATCATTTAATAATTAAGTAGCTAATCATTAACGCTACAGAGGTCAAGGGTCACAGAGCTTACCAAACCAATTCTGAGTTCCAATAATTAGTTCTAAATGTTCTGGAATTTATATGACAGCAGTGCCCAACTTTTTGCACCTGCCTAATTGTGTTTAAGCAATTCCTGCACACCTTCTGTAAATCCTATAAGGCAGGGGTGTCAAACTCAAACTCACACGGGGCCGAAATGAAACTCTGGGACGGAGTCGAGGGCCAAACTTAATATTTTTTGAAAAAGTGACGGCAAATTTGCACATTTTCTTTATCAACATATATGCAATTTTGAACCTTTTAATTCGGAAACAAACTTATTTCTGCATTAACACTGAATGTGGAATAACCAAATTACACACAAGCAAGTCCGTTTTAAATAAAAGGCATCAGTGGTATTCATTACTTGTGGTATAATCAGCATTTTTAAAATCTATTCAGGATTTATGTTTTCTTGATTATTCATTTTTCTTATTTTTTATTCTCCTTTTTTCTCCTGTAATAAGTGTCATCGCTGCTGTGACGTCTAGCTTTCCCCACTGAGGAACAATAAAGGGATTTTCTATTCTATTCATCTATCTGCAGCCTTTCCACTTCCTGTTTACTGTAGGTTAAATCTTTTCTCACGGGCCAACAACAAAATAAAAATATCATTTTATCTTAAATGAAAATGCAACATCTCACCTGTTAACTTTCATGTTTTGGAGCAGAAAAAGAGCATAAAACCAACATATTTAAAGCTCAGTTTGCTCCACTGGTTTACTGTGATGCTCACCTGTTCCAGCCAGATACCTGCATCATGGGGTTGATCTGAGCTGAGGAGGAGACTCCTGTTGTTTTGTTCATCTTCATCATAATAATGACAACATTAGATGACAACAGGTGCTCACATAGGTTTGTGCTGCTGAACATGTCTGAGCAGCTTGACCACGTTGTTGTGTGTCAGGGAGGAAACACAACCACAGAGTCGTGCTGGTTTGAGTGTGTCGCTGCTCGCTGGAGTTATATCGGCTCTGTCTGGACGTTAGTTGGAAAACGTTCTCTTTCAGTCGTGAACACATTACTGAGCGGCTAGAATCTCCATTTCTGGGCTTCAACGTCAGAAAATAGCTGAGTGAACTCGGCGCTGAGTGAGAGGAGTGTAGTTTGTCCGAGACAGCAGAGCTGCAGACACCGGCAGCAGGCGCTGGGAAAAACACAAAGGAGGGGGCGCGTCGGCTCCGCGCTAACGCCGCAAAGCATCATGGGAGTTGAAGTCTTTACGGTAAAAATGACCAGAGGGCCCGTTTTAATATATTTTTGTTGTTTATCTCGCGGGCCACATAAAAATGCTCCACGGGCCGCATCTGGCCCGCGGGCCTTGAGTCTGACACGTGCTATAAACTGTTTCACTTGCCAAAACGTTCGCATTCTACCGTACTAAAGCAACAGCATCGCAGACGACCCGAGTTGTTGGCACTGAATTATTATTATTAGTATGCACAATCTGTATTTCAGTCGTGGAAAAAACAACATTTTTCAATCCAATCAGGACGTGATTGATGTCATTTCTCCACAGCTCCCATATTAGTTCTACTACATGCATGTTATTTGCACAACAATAACGTTCTATGGCCATCATAGATCATCTATATCAAAATCCAACACGTGTTTGATTCTTTCTGTAGCCTGAAAGCCTAACCCTGACACCATTCCACCTTTTTAACATCAGTGCAATGCTACATAAAAACAAAACGTTGTAATTTCCTGTTTTGTCATGAAGCAACATCTAGTGCTACAAATGAAAACATTATATTTATATTGCCCAGTCATAATGAGGATAAAGCCTTTATTAAATCTTCTGAAGAGTCACTTTTTGTTTCTGGAATTCAATTGTTTGGAATTTGGCCAAAATCCTAGTTTTCCCTCCTTTTAATTTGACTGAATGAACAATAAGTTAGGAGACAAGTTCCAAAAGCGGACGTATACATAGTCATAAATGATGCACCTGAATGTTGTTGTTATCCAACAGGGGGGGTGTAAATTACTTGTTTGATCTCAACATGATAAATCATCATAGAAGAACATGATTGGATGTTTGCCAATATCTGAAATTCAGTCACATTTCGATTTGATTCGATTTAGGATCCATCGTTTGATATGAAACTAAATTACAAATGACTGAGCACAATCACTTACTAGAAGAGAGACGATTTCATCATCAGTGCGTTTACAAGTGCACGAGAAAAACAAACTATTGTCCTAAATAAACTCTGTCTCTTTTTAATGTAGGTAAATGTGTTGGTCTAGGTGAAGTTGAAGTGGTTCTAACTGTGCTGAAGCACCGAGATAATGCAGTAGGAACCAGACCTCACCAGCATGGAAACGGCTCAGTCGAGCGGATGCCGGTAACTTCTGGAAGTGACGAGAGCGCGGAAGCAGTCTTCTAATTGCAAAAAAAAAGTAGCACGTTTCACACCATCACACAGAACAGTAGGTACCAGCATTTGTTTACTTGTGTTGATACAAGCTAAGCAGAAGAACGCAAAAAAGAAAATGTGCACGTCGCCACCTACTGTACCCGAGTGGAACAAACTTCCTTTCAGAGTTCGGTTGTCTTTCGTCCATGTAACCTAGGATTAAGGCTCCCAGGTTTAGATCATGCTAGATCGACTTGGATGCCTGTTTTTTCACCGCTTGGCATGACGGTGCTAGCTTCCTTGTTTAACATGCTTGGT